CGCTGGGCTCCGGAGCCAGCGCCCCACGTACGGCCGTGCCAGGCAGCGATGCCGCCAGGAGCTCACGGTCGAAGCAGGTCTTTTCACACAAAGATTGACCAATTTTTAGTGTACTTATTCCCACTTGCCCTTAGCACAGCTGCTTTAATTCCCCACATGAATGTGGCTTTGGAGATGCACCCATGGCCCAGACCCCAAATGGTGTAGCCGTTTTCATCTGCCAGATAGGAGCTGCAGTGCTTCTTCATCACCCTGCTCTCCTGCTGGGAATCGTGGCGGTGGACAGAAAATATTGCATGGAAAAACATTATTATTCACGTGTACTTAGTGGTGTAAGGTGAGAATTTCCATCAAATGTACTACTCTGCTTATTTAAGCTACTCCCTGAAATTTGGAGTCTGGAAGTTGAAAGTTCTGCCCTGCTGTTTTAGGATGACACAGCGTTCACAAAACCGTGGTGTTTATTGTAGAATCATAGTATGGCTTGGTTTGGAAGACACCTTAGATATCGAGTTCCAACAGTCTTGCTATGGGGAACTCTATTTCAGGATCTGGAGCCTTTAAACTAAGGAGGAAAACCCTTTTATGCCCAGCTCTTTGTGCATCTGTGGAATAGAAAAGCAATCTCTTCCCCAGAGAGAGCCTTACAGAATACTCTCATTTTTGGTAGCTTCAGAATATTGTTGATTTCATGGCGGATGGTGGGACAAGGTCAGGCATGGCACTAAACTACTGCTTCTCCATGAAGTTTCTACTGGGATTTGTAGATCCATTGTGGGTTGTGGGACAACAGAGAAACGTCTGGGCATGGATTTCCATCCACCACACTGGCACTTAGGTCTCTTGGGGGTGTGAGTCAGCAGTGTGTGGCTCTAAGGTCTTGATGGAAAAGGGATCAGGATCAAGCCTGGTGATTTCAGGGGGCTTCTGGCTCTCAGCGGGGCGAAGCTGCTCCCAGGGCCGCCACAGTGGCTCTCCCAAAGACACCAAGATCACTCAGGGCCCAGGAGAGCCCTGTTGTCTGTCTCAGGCCTTTAATGATCGCTGCTGTATGTTAACAGGCCATACCACATATAGCCCGGCTATTGTCAGCGCTGATCCTTGTCCAACTGACGGGCTATTCAAAGCGCTTCTCAAGCCTCTCCAAAATCCCAGCTTGTTCTACCCCGATGACAGCCATCCCTCCCATTCGGAGTTCTCTTTGTACGCTTGATAACATGGTGGAAATCCCTTATTATGCTTCTTTTAATAATGCTTTCACATGGCAAAGGGACATGATGTTTTAATTTATGCAGTGCACATCATCCTTCGACAATTTGCTAAGAGGAGCCCTCGCGACCTAAGCCTGCGCCGAATAACACAAGTTTATGCAAAACCAGTGGTTTCCAACCTGTGGTCTCCAGACCGCTGGGAACCGGCAGGCTCCTTCCGAGGGGTCACCAGGAGGTAACCAGGAAAGCAGAGCCGCTGCCGGGAGGTTCAAACGCGCGCCGCCGCGCACGGAGCCGCGCTGTCACCGGCGCAGGTCTGGGGCTCCCAAACTGCAAACTGAAAATCACTGTCTCAGGGGATCAGGGGATTTTTTCCTTTTTTTTTTTTTTTTTTTTTCTTTTTTTCTTTGGTCTCTGTACTCAGTACGCTTCGGCTGCAACCTCTGTGTCTTTAAATACCTGCTCCAGTCGATTAAAAGCAGTAAATTCAGAAATTCAGAGGGGTAACTACACTGCTACTTATGAGTTGTGTGAGTTGAAGTCTTACTTTGTTGTCAAAAAATAGCAATTAACCTTCAGATCCACTTGCTCTTCCCCCCCCCCCAAATTAATTTTGCAGTATTATCACGCATCTTGAGGCTTCCAGTTTTAAGCATATAATGCTTCTCCTGTTAATGAAGCGGGTATCCACGATCAAGGGGAGCTGAGAGCCACAGACAATTGTTTGTTTGCCTTTATTTCTCACGCCCTTTGAAGGTTTTTCTTTCTCCTCTGTGTTTTTTTGGTTGGGTTTTTTCTGGGCTTTTTTTTTTTTTTTTTTTTTTCTCCCCGTTTTTTTTTGTTTGGTTTTTTTTTGGTTTTTTTTTTTTTTTTTTTTTTTTTTTTTTTTTTTTATTAAGTGACTTTAGCAGATTGTACCCTCAGAGCTGTGAATAATGGGGTTATTCTACAAAAATGGCCAAGGCTAGTTAAGACACACAAAGCCAGGAAATCCTTTCAGGGATGAAATCAGGACTATTTTAGGGGTGCCGTGTAAGTTGGAGACTTTGCAGCTTGGCTGCTGCATCGCTGCCAGGCACGGCAGCGCTGCGGGGACGACCGGTCCTCCCCCGCCGGGGGCTTGCCCGGCCGGGGGGGCCCCGCACCTTCACCGCAACGGGGGGGGGCCAAAGCCTGGGGGGATTTGCAAAGAACGGGGGGTGCAAAGGTGTCCGTGCAAAGGAGGATGGGGGGTTTGCCAGCGCCAGGTAACTTTGCCCATGCAGCAAAGGAGCTTTGCTGGTGCAAGGGACGGGGGTTCCCCGCGCCGGGGGTGCGCATGGGGGGGTTCCCGTGCAGAAGGGGAAGGGGGTTCCCCGTTCAGGAGGGGGTTTTACGCGTGCGGGAGGTTATCCATGCAGGATGGGGGGGTGTTATCCATGCAGGATGGGGGGGTTACCCGTGCGAGGGGAGCTCGCACCGCCCCCCCGCCGCCCTCCCGCGCAGGACCCCCGCGGCTGGGAAGGGGCTCGGCGGGGGCGGGACACTGCGGGCCCGCAGCGGGGCCGCCCGCCCGGCCGGGGGTGTGCGGGGGAGAGCGGGGGATGTCCGTGAGCCCCGCCGCCCCTCGGTGCGGGTCTCCTGTGCGAATCGCGGCGATTGCGGAAATACGCGGGGGCGGGGGGGAGGAGGAGGAGGTGGAGGAGAAGAGGAGGAGGGAGGTGGGCGGGAGGCTGCCGAATCGCTCGTAACTTCTGCAAAGTCCCGGGCACTGAGAGCCCACCCGGCAGAGCGCGGAGAAGCGGCGGCAGCGCCCGGGTGCGCCCGCCCCGAGCCCGGCTCGCCCCGCGCCGCAGCCACCAAAAGCCCCAGATCAGCCCGAAACCCACGGGCAGAAAAAATCCCAACACATCCCACCTAAGAGCCGGCGGCAGTTGGCTGCGGCGGGTTTTCCCTTCCGGTTCCCAACGGCTGCGAGTCGATTTTAGCCATAAAAAAAATATCAAAAATTGCGAAGAGAAAAAAAAAAAATGGAAAAAAAAAAAAAAAAAAAAAAAAGTGCTGCCAGCCGCCAGAGCCCGCAAAGTTTCTCCATCGCTGTTATCTGTGTTATCCCTGTTATCCCTGCCCGTGGGACGCGGCGCCGCTTAAACTCTTGTTTTTGTATTTTTAACCCGATTCCCACGCTTTCGCAGAGGGAATTCGCTATTGTCTGCGCGGGGTCTGGGCGCGGAGGGAGCGCGGGCGCGCAGGGCTGCGCCGCAGCTGCCTTTTTTTTTTTTTTTTTTTTTTTTTTTTTTGGTCAGGGATTTGAGAAAACCGCTGAGCTTGACAGATTCCCCCGCTTTCCCTCCTCCCCGCCCGTACGTGCGCGCCGGCTCCGTGCGCGCCGTCTGGAGCGCCCGCGGCCGCGCACAAAGAAACGCGCCCGGGCGCGGGATGTGACGGACCGCGGCGGGGACCAATGGGCGGGGCTGAGTCTTGTGACGTCACCAAGAGCTGTCCAATCAGCGGCGGGAGTGGGTGTTGCGACGTTTGAACTCCCCCGGGGGGAGGGGCGCGCCTTTTTTTTCTTTTTTTTTTTCCTAGGTTTTTATTCTCCTTTTTTTTTCTCTCTCTCCTCTTTTTATTTTTTTCTCCTTTTTTTTTTTTTTTCCTTTTTTTTTTTTTTTTTTTTTTTTTTTGCCTTTTCCGCCGAAGTTGGCGGCGCCCTGCGGGGACGGGGCCGCTGGCGGGGCCGGAGCCTCGGAAACCTCCGGATTTAGCACCCAAAAAAAAAAAAAAAAAAAAAAAAAGGAAGGAAAAAGGAAAAAAAAAAAAAAGCATTTTATTAAAAAAAAAAACCACGTTTAAAAATTTATTTATTTTTTTAAAGCGTGCTTAGCAAAACGCTGAGTTGGGAAAAATGAGGATAACTTGCGCGCCCACCCGTTTAGCGCTCAGATATTCTGGGGTGGGGGAAGGTGCTTCGCTCTACCGTATTTTTTTTTTTGGGTAAGGGGGGTTGTCCGCGGCTGGGAAGGGGCTGCACTTGACCGTGGCCCCTGCCTAGAGGGCGCAACCAGCCGTCCCGCGGCCAAAAGTCTCCCGAAGGGCGCCAAAAGTTACTTAAAAGATAATGCTGGAAACCGCAAAAGGCTGGGAACGGTGCGGCACGGACGAGTGGGGGGACACAACCCACTCCCCCTCCACCTCCGAAACAAGCTGCGGGAGGAGATTTTTCCTCCTTTTCCCCTATGGATGGGGTTTTTTGCCCTGCCTGTGTCGCCGTCGTCGCCCACCCCCCCCCCCCAAAAAAAAAAAAAAATCCTGTGACTACGCGCAGGGACGTGGGGGTCACCTAAACTGCCTCCGGCATCAGTGGAAAACGCTATTCCCAAGCGGAAAGGGGGGGACACACCACCCGGGACACCCTGCGAGTCCCCAGGAGCGGGCTGGAGAGCATCCAAACCCCAAACCCAAACGCTGCCGGTGCCAAGACAATGCGCTCCAGAAGTGTCAGGAGGCGCGGGGGTATTTTTAATTTTAAGCGCTTCACTTTTAGATTTCATAAGTAAGAAAGAGGGGGGAGTGCGATGTGCCGATGAATTTATGTGTTGCTATTTTTTAGAAGAAAATCTTTGTTTTTTTTAAAGTGGAATAAGCACCCTTGATTCTAAAGCGCTTGATTTAAAATGACAAGTGCCAAAGGGGATGGGGAAAGTTGTGGAAGGCAACGCCGCTTCCCCCAGCACCCCCCCCGCCCCATCCCTCCGTGGTCAAGGGCCGAGCGGAGCCGCAGCCCCCGGGAAGAGCAAAACAAGGGGCGGGCGGTGCGCGGCGCAGAGCGGAGGGGCGCGGAGCGGAGCGGAGGGGCGCGGAGCGGGGGCGGCGGAGGGGCGCGCAGCGAGCGCTATGCCTTTAACGGCGCGCGGGGCAGGCATGCCGAGCGCGTAGTGCGGGAAAGTCGAGGCGGGGTTAAAGTTCAGCTCATGGAGCGGCTCCGCGCTGGCTGCAGTTTGGCAGAGTTGGAAATGTGAAAGCAAGAAGCAGGCTCGGGGCTCCCCCTCCTCTCCTCTCTCTCTCTCTTTTTTCCCCTCCTCTCTCTCCCTCTCCCTCTGTCTCTCTCCCCCTCTCTCTCTCCCTCTCTCCCCGCACACGCACACCTCCAAACCGCAGCCCCCCGCAGCAGTCATGTATTCTCCGCTCTGTCTCACCCAGGTAAGCGGCCGCCGGGGCGCGGTGGGGCCGGCGCTGCGGGGGTGCGCGGCCGTGCGCGCCGGGGAAGGGGCACCACCGCCGCTCGCCGAAACTAACTTTGTTGCCTTTCGCTCGCATCGCCCCCCCCCTCCACCCCCTTCCCGCACGGCCATTTGTGTCGGCACATGGCTAATGGCGCCTACTTATTAATGCTTTAATTAACGGGGGGGGGCCGCGCGGGCGCGGTGCTGCGGGACGACCCGCACGGCCCCGCCGTGCTTGGTCATCCGCGATCGATGCCGCCGATGCCGCCGCCCGCGCCGGAGCGCCTCGCACCGCCCCGCACCGCGGCCCCGGGGCAGCGCTCCGCGGGAGCGGCCCCGCCGGCTCCGCGCCCCCCCCAACGCCCCGGGCACGGAGAGAGGGACCGTCCCCCGCACCTGGGCTCGCTCCCGCGGTGCGGCGCGGTGCAGCCGCCCCCGCGCAGAGCGCCCTCCGCACCCGCGGAGGCCGCCCCAGCCGGGGGACCGTGCGTGTGTCCCCCCACACGGACACCCGCAAACTTGTCCCGCGCGTGTCGCCTGTCCCCCCCGCCACCCTCCCGCCCGCGGATCGGGCCCCGCGGCGCTCGGCGCAACTTTTGCGCCCTCCGCTCGCGGCGGGACGGGGCTGCGCGGGGAGTGGAGGCGGGGGTGTCGTTCCGCGGTGCCCCCCGGTTACGCGGCCGCGGAACCCCCGGCCCCCCTTTTCCCCGCGCGCTGCTGCAGGACGCTGAATTACACCCCTTCAATTAGCAGGATATAATGGTTTAACGAGGAAATGCTTTGTGGCGGACTCAAACCCCAGATTATTTCCTCCTGCAGGAGATTTTGACTACATTATTCTTATTAATTTAATTGGAATATTTTTTTTCTCCCGGTGAGAAAGCCTCTCCGGGCTCTTTCCGTCGAGAAAAAGGCAAGGAATTGCAGGGAGAGGGGCGGCAGCTTCCCAGGCAGCCCGAAGAGCTCTCAAAGTTTCGTCCCCTTCTCCAGTCGCGGTCCCCTCTCCTTCCCCAGCCTCCCCCAAATTTTGGGGTGCTGGCGAGAAAACACCAGGCCGGCGGGGGCACGAAACTCCAAACCGTACACTTGCTCAAAAGGCAGGAGGAAAATGTGAGCAGCGGGAGTTTGCAGAGGATGGGATGCAGCAACTCCGGGCTGTGCCTGGGCAAAGTTTGTGCCTTTAATTCAACTCTTGAGAAATACCTGGTTTTTGTCAGCGCAGCGGCTGCAGGAGGGACCCCCGGACACTCCGTGCAGGGCCCGCAGCGCCGACGCTCTTGGCATCTCCACGTGGGGCTCCTGGGGCTCAGTAGGCCCAGTCGCATATTAAGGAGAGAAAATAAATCCATGGGCTGGTTGCTCCCTGGTCCAGTTGGGTCCTGTCCCTGTCGTCCCCCCCCCCCCCCCCCCCGCCCTTTTTTTTTTTTTTTTTTTTTTTTTTTTTAATTTATCAAAAGAAAAGCAGAAAGCCAGGCATGTGCTTTGACTCCGTTAGGAAAATCTGGCATTCTTGCTGCACGTTTGGAAAAGTAATAGGAGGATTAGAGGCCTCCTGACAAACTCTTCCCTCCGAAGGATCAATTAGGTGATTCTGTCATTTTTCCATAGAAAAAGGGGGCGAGCCCTGAGCTATTGCAAATAATTTCCTATTTTATCTTTTCAAGAGCTTTTATTGATACAATTTTTAGGAAGGATTTTTTTTTTCTTTCTTTTCTTTTTTTTTTTTTTTTTTTTGGTCAAGTTTTGGTTCAGATTTAAAGGGAAGCTCTCGAAAGTGGGTTAGAAAAGGAAAACAAACAGAAATCCTGGTTCTGAGCATATTTATCCAAGCCCTGGAACCAAAATGGCACAAGCATTTTGTGTCATCTGTCAGAAAAAATCCAAACATCGTTCCATTTACATATCTGCTGAGGAGCTAGGAAATAGTTGGGGAACATATGCACATCTCCTCATAGATTTACAAGCAAATGGATTGTAAAAATATTAGCAAGGGTCGCTGTAGTTGGCTTAATTTCAAAAAGATCTGCAGAAATACATTGTTTCAAAGCCTCCTTTGCAGGATTACATTATCGAAGGCGCCTTTGGGTTGGCGTTGGGGTTCTTTTGTCCTAGGGTTTTTGTTTTGTTTTTCTTAACACCTTTTTGGAGAGCTGAGGAGAATTTTGGGATAAACACTACAGAACTGTGCAGCCCAAATTTTAGGTGCTGCTTAGAGGTAGGCAGCTCTCGGAAGAGCTGTATCCTCAAACTTCGGAGAGGAGTGCAGTAAAGAAAAGCCCAACTTTTTATTATTGCTTTGCCAGCTTTCTGGTGTCTTTTATTTTTAGGTAACCCATCCAACACTGAGGGGGGAAAGCAAACAGCTTTATCAAATACTTTTAAAGTTTCCCTTCAAGCTAACTTGTGGAAAGGGAAAGATCATTGCCTTTTCTACCAGTTCCTTAAAATCCTGCTATTTTGCAGCGAGGCTGCAGGCAAGTTGCACATCTGTTAGCACACTTGCACTGACACATTTCCAAAACTTTCTGGGTTTTTTGAGGGGGCTGTAGCACCACTGAAATAAAAAATTGTATTGTGCAGAAGCTGCTCCCCCCCCCTCCGTCCCCGCGTCCAGCCCAGTTCTGTTTGATCAGTCCTGGCTGCTTTTATTTCCACTTGGACTTTGCTAATACCTCAGCGCCGAGATTGAAGCGGTGCGATTTTCCGGAGCAGCGTGTTTACCAAGACACTTTGAAAGTTGGTCTGTTTATGAGTCGTTAACCTTTTCTCCTCATACACCATTTTGAAAAGACACATTAGGGTGTAATAGGGACGTGCACACCTCGCGCCTGAGCAGCAGTGCTTCTCTTTTACTTCAGCCACAGACCCTGACTTTGCACCAAAAAGCATCTTGGTTTTTTTTCCCCCCTCCCTTTAAAGTGGTTTAGTGTCTTTTTTTTAAAGGTTTTTTTTTTTTTTTTTTTTTGGGTGTTGTTTTTACCTCCCCTTTCAGGTTCACATCGTAGAAATCAGCTTTAGCGCAGGTTAAAGCAACTCTCTCTTGGATGTTATCCAACGCCGAGCCAAAAAAGTCCCGAGCACATGAGATCAGGCAGGACAAAGCGCTGCTTAAAGCAGAAAAGTTAAAATATTTCAGGATGTACCAAGACGTGTTTGGAAAGTGGGAAGGCTGGAAGCGCTGCCCTGGCTCGCTGTGGGCTGTTGAGCCTCTTTGCTCTGTGTACCTTCACAGATAAACTTCCACTTGACAAAAGGCCTTTTTTCCTTGACTCTCCCTGAGTGGGGAAAGGGAAGGACAGGAGGGATCAGGAGGGAGGGTTTATTATTTTTAATAGCTTGTAGAGACCTGTAGTTTTTATATTTTTCTTCTTTTTCCCCCCCTTCCTCCCCCCACCGTGAGAGCTGTGTCTGGTGGGTGAGAGCAGCTCCATGTGCTGGGACTGTGCCTCCTCTCACTTTTTGAATCTGCCGACTGCAAACTCGCAGCAATCTTTTTTTTTTTTTTTTAAACTTTATTGAAATTTGAAACTATCATCTTTTCCCATAGAGGAGGGTAAAAAAAAAAAAAGAGGAATGTGCCAATCACTGGAGTGATTTATTTTATTTTACCTGCTTTTATTTTAATAATCATTCATGGTACTTTGATTGCTGCCGCTCTGCTCTAATGAAATATATTGTGCTGCTAGGAAAGTTTTTAACAATCTGTGTTTAAAATAAAAATAAATGCAATGGTGCTACCTATAGATTTAAGTATCTATAATTCTGGGTCCAGTCAGAATAAGTGCAATGAAGGCTTTGGGGGCATCAGCAGAAGGTCTTGAATTATGACAGGATTTTGCTGATAGATGTTTCTACTATTGATTTCTCAATTTTTCATAATTTCTGAAAAGAACAATGCAAATTAAAATAAAGTGTTGAAAAGAAGTAAGATGTCTGTTTTAATAACCATATTTGCATGACCCACAATGATTTGAGTAGAAAATGTACTCCATGGGATAATTAAAGAAAAAAAAAGTTAGTTTGCTAATCCGAAAAATCCCCGATGTTTCCTCACACAGGGGTGGGTAGCGGGTGGCTTTTCCCATGCTGGGGAAAACGTTGCAGAGATTACTTTATTTTTCCCTCCTGGAGGGCCCAATCCTGAGAAAAGGAGGAACTGGAAGCAGGGACGTCCCCAGCACGCAGCGCTGGATCAGGCCCCATAGGCTGGATACGTTTTTATGTGCAGCCTTGAGTTGGGTCATTCATTTATTCAGGAAAAAAACAAGAAGCATGACCCCAGTATATTATAATATGTTTTGATCTCTTTGGCTGATTTATGTAATACTTAGTGAGGAGAAAAAAAATATAATTATTAAAAAAAAAAAAACAACAAGGGGTCTTCTCGCCTTTTTTTTAGCGTCAGCATAATTTAAATTGCGATTTTTTTTTGTGCCAGGGGAGAGGGGTGATCTTTAACTCCTCGTTACACAAAGCAAGCAGTGTCTCCGGATGGCCAAACTAACTTTCCGAGTAGGACATTTCTTTTAAAATATCTGAAAGTCTGACACAATTAATAATTCTTTGCGTATTTGCACAAGTTGTGCTGCAGTTTTCTGTTACCGCATTTTTCAATTTTTCCTGTTTATTTTGGGATTTTTTTTTTTAAATTTTATAGAAAGGCTCAGAGTTTCACTTTCCCTAATATGCTCAGATAGCAAGTTTTTTGTTTTTTGTTTCGTGGGTTTTTTTTACTAAATATAAACAATTTTTTTTTAAAAAATATAAATTGCAAGGCTTGCTTTTTCTAGGGTTTTAGTGTTAGTTATGATTGCGCTCGCGGGATAAATCTACCGCGGTACTTCTCGCGCTCCCTTCACTGTTTAGGAACCAGAGTGAAAACCACCCTTCATTGTAATTGTATATACAGCTATAGTGGCATTTTACTATTCTGCCGGCTGCTATTTCCAAATATATCTTAGGGAAAGTTTTACTATACTTTAGACTTCCCCATACAAACATTGATTGGCATCCAAATGTTTAGGATTTGCCAAATTGGCGGGCAAACGCTGGCTACACCGCAAGCAGCGGGGTCAGGGAGAGAGCAAAGGGAGATATGCGCTCTGCAAGTGGACTTGCAAAGGAGTTTTTGGCTTTTAACTCATTCTGCCCTTTTTTTTTTATTTTTTAAAAAAGGTTTGGGAACTGGGGAAAAGGCGCCAGCATTGCACCATCTCCATCTGGGCGCTTGGTTGAAGTTGGACCCTGTTTTTGGGGGGCGGGAGCGGAGGTTTTGGGTCGGCGCGAAAGGGAAGCGGGGATGTGGCAGTGGTGGGTTTGGGGTCCATTAGCAAGGGGTCCCACAGCCCTTAAAATTTATCAGCACCCTCCTAATTCTCTCCATCCCGCAAAAGCCCTCTTTTTGAAGGCTCTTTCTTGATGGTTTCGGTGGCATCAACCCTTCTCTGTAACTTTTTTCAGGATGAATTTCATCCCTTCATCGAAGCACTTCTGCCTCACGTCCGAGCGTTTGCGTACACATGGTTCAACCTGCAAGCCCGAAAAAGAAAATACTTCAAAAAACATGAAAAACGCATGTCAAAAGAGGAAGAGAGAGCCGTGAAGGACGAACTGCTAAGTGAAAAACCCGAGGTAAAGCAAAAATGGGCATCCAGACTTCTGGCAAAGCTCCGGAAAGATATCAGGCCTGAATTTCGGGAGGATTTTGTTCTCACAGTCACAGGAAAAAAGCCTCCGTGTTGCGTTCTTTCCAATCCAGACCAGAAGGGCAAGATGAGAAGAATTGACTGCCTTCGCCAGGCAGATAAGGTCTGGAGGTTGGACCTTGTTATGGTGATTTTATTTAAAGGTATTCCGCTCGAAAGTACTGATGGCGAGCGCCTTGTAAAGTCCCCACAGTGCTCTAACCCCGGGCTGTGCGTACAGCCCCACCATATAGGAGTTTCTGTTAAGGAACTCGATTTATATTTGGCATACTTTGTGCACGCAGCAGGTAAGTGCCTTTCTCTACCACCTTCTCCAACTTTTCGGTTATCTCCGTGCCGGGTGCCGTGCCCCTGTGGCGGCTGCATGAGCTGGGGAGGGAGCTGGGAATGCCGGTTATCACTCTCCCGGGGTGGCGAGGAGGGTGCCAAAACTCCCCCCCTCACTTTTATTTTTTTTTTTTTTTTTAATGGGGTTTTTAAGGTGCAGCCAGATATAAGTGGCTCTTGTTTTCCGCGGTTAACAGCATTTCGGGCATCCTTCACAGGTGTTATCCTAAATGTTGTCCGAGGAGGGCTCGCAGCCGGACGCGGCTTCCTTTATCCTAATTTTGGGGGAAAGCAGATAGATTTTAATTTTTTTTTTTTTTTTTAATAAAGTTTGCATATGTTATACAGAAAGTTGTCCAGGAGGGCTAGAAATGCCTGAGGCCTGTGGGTCAGGAGTACTAGGTATCCTCACCCCACGGGGAATAGGTCCTGTAAATCCTGCAGGATTGGAGGGAAAAGAGAAGACAGTCCCTTGATAGCAAACCTAGTCATCAGGTCTGAGTGGGCATGAAACAAACCTCTGGGTAACCCTAGAGGAAAAAGGAGACATTTAAACCCCTTAAAAGATCAAAATTTATACACCTAAAAGCTAAGCAGGTCTTGAAAAAAATTCCTGATTTGACAATATTGTGCTTATGAGGAGGGGCTGAGATGTTTTAACGTGTGATGAAAATCTTGGGATCCCAGACTCCAACACAAAGTATGCTCTGCCTGCGGCGTGACTCGGCGTGCTCAGAGGATGTGTAGTATGTTGACTGGGTAAAATAATACGCTATTGTAGTTCTCCTGAGTGATTGTAGCACAGAAAAATGTGCGTGTGTGAAGTGCGATGCCCCAAGTTTGATGTACGGGATGTGTGGGTCCCCCAGCATATCCTGACTTGTGAGCTGAGGGGCTGGACAGGCTGGAAAAACAGAGGAGCAGGGGAGAGAGGAATCACATTAGTAGAAACCACTTCTGTATAAATATTTATTGGTAAGAAAACCAAGCAAATTACAGCCCAGGGAGTCTGCATTTCCCATGCCAACTTCTTTCAGAGGGTCCTGCAGAAAGTTTTGGCTTCCCCAAAGTTTTTCTGTGCTGAGTCCCTGCCATGGTTGTTGTGTTAGGCAATGTCGCCGCTGGGATTTTACAGATATGATCCCTGTTCGGAAATAACTTTTGAGTATCCTCATGGTATTTCCTACAGATAAGCTGCAGCATTTACTTTGCACTTCGGTGTGAGGTGGTAAATCATACAGTACATTTATGGTGTAAAGGGAAGTAGGCAAATATTGAGGAAAATTATTTATTTACTCTGCGCTTTATTATGGCCATCATGAAGGAAGCGTTATGGATAAATGGCTAACTGAAGGGAGCTTGGGGCTGGGGCATTTCAGGTCACCTCCTGTTCCATCACCAGCCCCGAGGGGACCATGGACTCACATCCCTTTTGTCTGCCTCAGTTTCCTCCTCCGCGTGTTGGAGTGGGTTGATAAATTTAAAATGCTTTGATACCCAAATAGAAGCCATAAATGTCCATTTACTGATCTACAGCACGCAAGTTTTTATTATTTGGATTTATATACAGCACGATGCGGTAAATACTGATCCATATTGTATTTCCCAGGCCCTCCGTGGAGCTCAGAAATTGTTGATAGAAACCAACGGTCTTGGCTTAGCTTGCATGAAGGGTCACAGAAATGTAGGATGGGGAGAAAAGGACCAAACCCAGTGGTAGGAGTATTTCGGGGACCTCTCCCTGTTATAACAGTCGGGCAATAGACGTTATGAAAGTTCAATATTGCGATTAGGGATATACCATCTTATCAGCACGCCGGTGGCAAACAGTAGCCTTGATAGCGAACTGTTATTTATTCCTGCCATCATCATCAACAGGCAGCGATCACACCGATTGTCCTTCAGATTTGGTGTTTGCCACGGAAACACGTCGCGAGCTCTTGGCGTGGTTTTTGGGGTTAGATTTGGGGATTTGTGTGAGCAGCCGCGCGCCCGTGCAGAGCGCACCGCGCGGTGTTTTCGGCCGTTGTTTGCTGATTGCACGCATTGCATTGTGCTCTCAATGCAGGAGTGTGTGCTGGCATATTCCTGCTAAACCTCAGCAGGGAGGGGAACAAGATGTTTTTTGGGAGGTGGCACAGCGTGGTCGCTGTCTATATGGCTTCACAGAGGTGTACCGAAAGCCTTGCGTAGAGCTACCTCTTTTTCTTCCCCCGTTTTTTCCCGTTTTTTTCCCCCCTCCGATGTATCCCAGCAGTCTTTGTTACACCTGAACATTGGCCAAGTTGACAGCCATTGGTTCCCGCAGACCCGCAGTAATGGCAGCTTGTGCCGGGTGCGCAACAGGAAAATTACAAAAGAAAAAAATATTAAGGGTCCTTTGTCTCCAATTCCATCAGACCTCGCTCCCCAAATGTATGGACCACGTATTTATAAGGAGGAAGTCGCCAGCGCAAATATTAGGTAGGCTGGTCAACTTACATATAGCGGATTTGACAAGCATCTGCTATAGTACAGAAGATTTGTAAACACTAAACAATGTTTTTACCTCCTTAAAAGTTTTGAGAAGTTGCCAGTATTGGCAGGAGGCACAGACTCCGAAACGTGCTTGAAGATACGTGCCAAAACCATTGTGACCTTTTCACCCATAGTGCTTGCTTCTCTTTTTCTTGTGGGGTTTTTTTTCCCCCCTACTTTTTGTCTTCTTTTCTTGGGGGGAGTATTCTGTTCCAAGATGCCCTTATTCGAGATGACTTCGGCAGCAAGATGTCCCTTTCCTTCTAAACATGTAGGATAATTATTGCTTTGAATCCACGCTTTTCCTTCAGTAGGCACTATCATCTGTAAGGGAACACATGTGCACAGATTTAAATAGTGCTTCTTACAAAGCTACTGAAATCAATTATTCTCTTTAAGAACTGGCTAGAAAGAGAAAACAAAAATATGCAAATAGGCAAACTACATGTCATTTTCATTAAAAGGATAAAAAAAAGAAATTAAAAAAAAAAAAGGAAAGGAAGATCGGTGCTTTGTGAATTAGAGGTTGACCAAAAAATGTATTGAAATCTAGAGTATTGCTCTCAGTTTGCAGTTTCTAATCTGCTTAACTAAAAGCAGGCGGCATTTTCATACCCTGAACTTGGGTTTGCTTTTTAGTTTTCACTTATTCTGCTCTTGTATCAAATGACAAGTTGGAAACCATTGTGGCAAACCGTTTTCTTTGTGGGAGTCGAACAGTAAAGCTAATTTATGACCGGTCCTTTACCAGATGATCTGTATCAGAATCTACAATATACTAGGCACGTGGCAAGGTCACAATTTAAGTTGTTAAGGTCACAACCTTAGCCACCAGGCATTTGACCTTTTAGATAAAGTTAACCTTTGTTCATTAGTAGGCACTCAACCGAGAACTTTCTGGAGTTTTTTACTGCTTTGGAGTTCCTCCTGCTAATGTGGTCAGATTGGAGAATAGAATCGCAATAGAAGTAGTTAAATTTTCTGAGAGGTCACAGTTTTTAGAGACTTCTCCAGTGGCCGAAGCGGGATGGTTGGCCAGGAGGCGATGCTCCAATGCCCGGTTTATTTTTTTGGCCGGCCATCGTTATGCGATTCGGGCGAGTATTAAACTCGCGAGGTATTTGTGGCAGAGAAAATCTTTTAATCTTTCAGAAGGACATTTAAAAATCCCAAATTTAAGAAAAAATCCGGGGCTAGGTTTTATTTACGTAAGCTAATTTTTCTGTTCACGTTTAGACTCGAAGGCAGCGAAGGTGCCAGAACTCAGCCTTAATTTTTGCGACTGAAAATTTACTTAACTTCTAGATGTACTCTGTGGCTAATTGCTGGGCAGTGGTATGTAGCACATGACCTTGAACTTTAAGCTCGACCCATTTTATGTTCCCATCAACAGACTTAAAATATTCTCCTTGGACGACCATAAAGAGGCATCGATGGGAATAACCCAAAGATGGGTTAATGCAGAAGCCCTCCCGTACCCGTGGAGGTTTCGGGGGGTCCGAGAGGTACCCGAGGCTTTGCGCTGTAATCTTTTAGTACAATTGGTATTGATTGTTGCTGCATTAATCCTGTTAATAGCCGCAGCCGGGCCGGGTGTCGCAGGGGTGGCAGAGGTGTCCTGACAATACCGTACGTCACTGAAAGAGCTGTCGCAGCGCCTTGAGCTCCTGATCGCTGCTCTGCAAAAGTGGAGCGTTCGACGGTGGAAGCTATTGCTGGCTCATACAGAAACACACACCATATTGTTTACTTAATTATGCCGGAGCGAAGGCTCATTTTTAATTATTTAGCTGACTTTCTCGCTCTTCTCTGATACCACATTTATTATTTAATTTGAAATCAAAAGGGCTTGCGCTCCTGTTAGTTTTTGATGCGTTTTACTTTTGTTTTGGCTACGTTATTGTCATTCCATCGTACGGTAATCCAGATAGCCGTGATATGCAGATTGGCCAGATGGTCATGTTAACAGATTGAGAACCTACTTCCCACTGCTAAAGAGCAGGTGTAAGATCAGTGGGCTTTTTTTTTTTTCCTTCTTCTTCTTTCCTCCCAAGTTTCAACCAAAATGCTCTTTAGACAGATCATAATGGTAGCTAAAAAGGGGCACATTTCAAATGGTGTTTGTTTTGTGGAGATAATGCGTAATGTATATGTCATTTTTACGCCTATCTGAAGACTTTTAAAGCATCCATGACACTCCCTCCACTTATAATGCTTTGGAAAACCTAATTCCAGCTCATGGCTGTTCCAGTCTATATCCAAAACAGTCCTTAAAGTTTTTTTCTGCAGAGAGATTGCATTTACTCTTACCAAAAAATCACTTCAGGCAGCTTCGCAGCAGGTATCTCACACGTGCTCCCTGCACAGGGCTCCCAATGCATGCCCAGGAGAACCCGAGCAGATCAACAGTCAGCTGAGATTTTAGTGTTTGTGGGCTGATAGA